TGTTTCTGTTACTTTTTTTTTTTTTTTTAAGATTTTATTTATTTATTTGACAGAGATCACAAGTAGGCAGAGAGGCAGGCAGAGAGAGAGAGAGAGAGAGAGAGAGAGGAGGAAGTAGGCTCCCTGCTAAGCAGAGAGCCCGATTCAGGGCTCAATCCCAGGACCCTGAGATCATGACCTGAGCCGAAGGCAGAGGCTTTAAACCCACTGAGCCACCCAGGCGCCCCATTTTCTGTTACCTTTAATGAGAACACTAGATACGGATTTGTCCCTTTTTCCCCGCGGATGATGTCCCCTGGCCAAGTGTTTCTCTCATCTCCTGGAGCTTACTTTCTGTTGGGGCAGGGGATGGCTGACAGTACAAAATATTTGAAAAAGCGTAGTCATTTCCTGTGGTGACAAGTGCTATAAAGAGGAGTAGGACCCATCTGTGTGATCCAGGCTGTGGCCAGGCTGTTTCAGGTAGGGCTGTCGGGAGTGTCTGAGGAGGTGCTCGATGAGTTGAGACCTCAATATGGCAAGGAGGTAGCCGGCCACTGGTAGATTCGGGGATGTTCCTGCTGGAGAGAGCAGCGTGTGGAAGAGAAAGGAGCTGCGCATGTTGCCTGAATGGGAAGCAGGCCTGTGTCTGTGCAGGGCCCTGAGCTGTGTGGGAAAATCCCTGGAGCCATGATAGTGAGTGTGCGTGTATTATGAGAGCAATGGGACACTCTGGAAGGGTTTAAGCAGGGAGTGACATATTTTCATCCTTCTTTTATTCATACTGTTATTCTACACAGAGGAAATGAAAAGATGCAAAGAAAGTTTTTGTGTAAACCAACTGAATGAAAAAAAAAACAACAGAAAAAGAAGTGAGGTCAACTTGATGTATTCTTTTTTTTTTTTTTTTTTTAAGATTTTATTTATTAGAGAGAGAGTACACAGCAGGAGGGAGGGGCTGAGGGAGAGGGAGAAGCAGACTCCCACTGAGCAGGGAGCCCAGTGCAGGGCTCCATCCCAGGACCTCAGCATCATGACCCGAGCGGAAGGCAGACGCTTAACTGCTTAACCTGCTTAACCGACTGAGCCTCCCAGGTGCCCCGATGTAAATGTTTTATCGAAGGGTGAATGGTTTTATAATGAGAATTTAAGCATTTGAATTTATTGCCCTTTGTGAACCACTCATGGCTAATCCAGATTCTTTGGGACCCATTTTAGGTCCTATCTCTGCTGCCAAATTCTTTTCACATCATTTGTTCCCACTTTTTTTTTCTTTTTCTTTTTTTCTCCATTTCCATTCTTTATTCTTAACTTGTTTTGTTCTTTCATCCCCTGGAGCACCCTTGTTATCCTGGCCTTTTTCACTGCCCTTTGAAGAATGCTAACCACTGGGCAGACAGCAACTGTAAGGCTAAAATTCAGCCTCTTTTCAGCCTGGCATTGGAAAGTAATCAGTGTATCAGCCTTGTAATCCATCAACATCACGTACCTTTTGTGTGCCAAATTCTGCACTGGTCTTTTATCGTTGTGGTAATTAAGTGAGCAGTTCTTGTTTTAAGAGCGTCCTATAGGTGTGTCTTTAAAACTGCTTTAGAAGTTTCTACAGGGTCTGGTATCACTGTCTGTGGGACCTCCTAGGTCAGTCAGGGCTTAAGGAAGTATCCGTTGGAGAAGAGAATAAATACTACACTGTCTGGATCAAGCGGCCTGTAGTTCCATTTTTTTCCAGCTCCCCCCTCAGACAGGCCTTTTGTTTCCCACAAAAATCAGCTATTTCTCAGAGACGGTTAGCGTGGGGGATCTCTGAAGTGTTTTCAATCCGTGAGGCTCTGGGACACCTTTGTGGGGATGTGCTTGGCCGGCACAGTGTTGTATTAGGGAAATGAGACCGCGAGAGGCCTCACTTATCTGTACATTGGCAAATAGAGAAAGATAGCCTTCTAATAGAAAAAATCTCAGAGGGGAAAGGAGTAATAAAATCAAGCTGGTTTATGGTTTGTCAGTCCAAAAAGCTTTTAAGCCATATCTATAAAGGTGGATTCACTTAATGTTTGCTCTGCATTTCAGGCATCATTGTGTGATAAGTGGTGTAAATTTAGCCTCTTTAAGGCTGATCTCCTAGGGGTTGAGTTTTAAGCATTGGAACTTTATTTGAAAGGACTCTATTGATTGGGCTTTATTTGGTCCCTCCATACTGTAGAGAGGCACTAAGTAATGCTTTGGCCTCCCTGTTAGGTTTTTTTTTCTTTCTTAATTCACTTGATAGGTCTCTCTCTCTCTGCCCCTGTTCTTCACCTTCTATTTCTAACTGTTCTCCTTAAAAAGACTAAAGTGGTATGGGGGGGGGAAGGGAAAGAAAAATCAACTGTCACATTGTGAACATAATTGATTCAATAAATTACGTCTTTCAATTCCCAAGGCAAACCTCAAAGTCTTCACTTACGTCAATTAGTGTTCAGCTCGGTAAGTGGTGGCATTCTTAATTTGGACGGATGGGGAGAGTTCACCAGTGCTCACTTTCTAAGGAGGGAGTTTGCTTTCCTGTTTTTAAAGACATACCACCAGATTTATGCAAAGAGATGGTTGCAATGGAATCAACGTGGCCGTTTTATTCTTCCTGAAAATAGAAGGAAGGCATTTAATTATTGTTCAAGGTTTTGTTGAAACAAACAGATGGAAACAAGGGGAATGAAAACTACTAGATTGTAAGCTCCATGTGGGCAGGGGCCGTGTCTTGTTTGTTCACCCTTTAATCTCTAGTGCACACAGTAGGTGCATCATATTTATTGAGTGAATCTGTTAATGAGTGAATGAGAGCAGAAATGTATGGTTAAATCTTAGGGAAAGAGTTAGATTAAATTTCATTGCACTGGTGGTTTCGTCCCCACTCTCCTCCTTATCCCCTAAGTCTTTTCAAGGACAGTAGCGCTAAGAGGACCAGAGAGCAGCATGTACCATATCTTCCAAAATGTATTCTCAGACTGGCAGGGCTGGGAGGGATCGTTGAGGTGGGGTCAGGCTGCCATTCACAGATTCTAGTAAATGAGCCAGTTTGGCTTCAGAGCCACATGAGATATATTACAAATCTGCAGGTTCCAGGCCCCAGCCCTAGAAATGCTGACGGTGTGGGTCTCAGCAGGGTGTGGGGATGCGCAGGTGCATCTGTGGGTTCCCCTCCCAGTTCTGGTGTGCACCTGCAGTACCGCTCTGGCCTGGCTGTCCTCTCTGCTCTCCAATCTTAGTTACTCCTTGGTAAAGAGTGACTCAGCTAAAACCCCCCAGAATAATTTGGCAATACTGTGACCAGAACCCGGGTCTCGTGACTCTGACAGCAGTGCTCCTGGTCTTAGAGTTTGCAGCTTTAGTTCCCCCCGACTCTGTGCCGGTCAGCATTCTGTCAGAATCGTTGAACTGATACTTTTTCCATGTAGGATGGGGCAGTATTGGTGGCGATGGCTAGCCACAATCTGAAGGAGCATCTAAAACCTCAAGGATATGTTACATTTTGTTTGGTGTACTTTAGCACTAAATATATTTTATGGTCTTTTCTAGAGGCTCACCCGCTTGCTGTGGCAGAGAATAAACCCCTAGTAGGAAGCCCCAGACTTTTCTCTTGAAGCTCCCTCAGTGTTTCCCAGACCTGCCTGATCACGGGAACCCCCTGGGTGCTGGCTAACGGTGCATAACTCTGAGGCCTGCTTGAGCCCTGTTAAATCAAAGTCTTCCTGTGTGTGGTCCCCGGATCTGTGTTTGAGGTTAGCTTAGGTCATTCCTGTTCCCTGTAGACTGCTTTCTAGTCCCTGAGAACGGTGTCTCCCATTCCCAGATACCAGATCCCTCCACATCCAGCTCTGACTTCCTTAAGACTCTCATTCATAATTACATCATCATGTTGTCTTTCTCTGTGAAGGTTTGTGCCCTGGTCTGCAGAACTTGTTCTTGAACGAGGAAGGAGGGAATATCTGCTTTCCTCTTTCCTCCAGGGCAGATTTTGACTGGCAAGGTGGGTGCATGGAAGGTCGGGATGTGCAGTCATGGAGGGAGCTTGTGAGAAGGGTCAGGGAACCTCTGAAGCCGAATAGAATGGCTCTGTTCTTTCCTTGCATTATTACTCAACAGATAAATGATTTGGGGGACATTGTTTAAACTTCTTGGAGTTACTGTTTCCTCATCTGTAAAATGGGAGTAAGAATAGTACTTGTTCAGGGGCTTTGTGTGTATCAAACCAGGTGTCCCAGGCTGGCTCTTGGGACACAGACTCAGAGATGGAGACTTTGGTGCAGAGGGTGACTGGAGAGAGCCTCTGGGAACGGGCCTTGCGAGGGAGCAGGAGGGGCTTTAAACTGGGTAATGTTACCGTGAAAGTTTCGCCTGATTCCGTGAGGATCTCCAGACGTGGGGTGTCCTTCCCAGTTGTCTGGAGTTGAGGGAAGGGGCCAGGGCCTATAGACCTCTGTATCTACCAGTCCTTGGATGTGGGCTGCCCCTGGAGAGGGGTTGATGACCTCAGGTAAGGCAGCTCACCTTTGGGTGAGGGTGGCTATGCCTCCAGTGCTGGCAGGTGGGGAAGGGGCGCCCAGGTGCTGGAGGATCTCCGTGGTGCACCCTGCACCCACTGCCCAGGACCATGCTCACGAAAACCTGGGCAGCCAGCATAGCGCGTTTGTAGGTGCTCGATAAACACTTGTTATTGCTGTTATGATTCAGCTCTGGCAGTGCCGCTGAGCGGGCTGCTTTCAAGAAATGACTTACCTTCTCTTGGCCTGTTTTCTTAAGTTTAAAATGGAAATTCTAAACCCCTGTACCCGTTTCCCTTGATGAATTCTGAGCCCATGTAGAGAAAATGTATGTGACTTTGGTGAGAAAAATATCGTAGAAATGTAAGGTGTGACTATGAGCTTACTTTTCTGAAATGAGAATAGGGCCCCGACTGGATTCCTTGAAGGGAAAGGGTCATGATGAATGTAAAAGTGCTTGTCCACGAACTATGGCGTTCTGATGGTTCTTTCTTCTCTCTCTAGGGAATTAGAATAATGGAGATGCTGCTGAAGGAGCAGTGTGGTGCCCCGTTAGCCGAATAAAGAATCATCAGTGAGTACCACAAGCAAAATCAGGATTATTTACTCCAGCCATGTCTTCATGCTTTTAAGTCCTGTTATAGTGCATCAACCTCCCTGGGCTACTCCCCCGTATACTTCCCAGTTACGGGTGGAGGATACAGCCTCACAGGTGTTTCCTGATCTCTTCAGGACCGTCATTTACTTACTTCTTTGATTTTCGGAGCAGCATGGTGCCACGTGCTGGGTTACAACTGCATTCAAATTGTTCAAACTGCTCAGCACAATCCAGCATGATTGCGACCCTCAGGGTGCCCTCGATTTGTAGACTGTGGTTTAGGATTAACTGAAGCTTAATTGTATTGTTCTGAGAACAATGAAAGGAGGGCATTAAAAGCTGTATTTGAAGCAGGAAGAGAAGTAAGAAAGGGGCATGCTTTGATTGGCCAGTGAAATAAATTTGTTTTATTGGCCATAAATCCTTCCACTGGTTGGGAGTGGCTGCCTGAAATACTATAGAGAAGGATTCTGACATCTAGAGGACACTCTCAGGTCTGGGGGAGGGTGCCGTGTATAGAGGCTGGTGGATCGGCACTTGCCACATCTAAACCTGGGAAGCAGGTTTAGAATCACTTAATTTTTTTTCCTTTAAGTTTTTATTGTCTACATGAAGGAGAATGGTGTCCATAATGGAAAGGACAGAACAACATTATTTTAGAGAGAACCAGAGCCTAAAATAAATGATTGTAATGGATTTGCTTCTGACCAAATCTATTGGACTTGGATTTTTAACACGTGAGAAGGTAAAACCTTGGAGTTAAGCAAACATCGTCGTGGGTAATTCATCATTACCTCAGATTTCCTTATGTGGGCTTACTATAGTATACATGGTTTCGTATAAGCAACCTTAGACTATACTTGTGATATACAATAAAGTTTGAGGACAGTTAACCAAAGAAGAAGCAAAGTGAACATTTATATACAAGTTCTTCGGCATTGAATGCATGCTAGCCTGGCCCGTGAATGGATTTATGCATGACTAGGGAGGCTAAGTAAGATAATTTCATTTAGCACAAACATGGCACATGGCAGGTGCTCAAAAATACTGAAATGCAATCTAAAAATGCTGTGTTTCATTGCTTCTTGGCCTTTTGGCCAAGACCAAGTGTAATACCTGTTCTTATCAGTTTAATATCTGATACGTCCTCTATCTGAGGACATTATATTAAATGGATTTTTGGAATTAGGAGATGGAATAGGAGCTGCTCCGTCCACTCCATGCATCTACCTGGTATTGCAGTACTTCCAGGAATGGTGCAGCCCCCTTGGGGGGAATTAACTGTTGTACCAAAAAAAGAACTTAAAAAAAAAAAATTGCTGTGTTCCTATATCTGCTCTGTTCTTTGAAAAAAAATTTTTTTGAGGCATTTTTGTGAGACTCACCAAGTAGCTCTAGAGCTCATGTACTTGAGCGTGGATCCCATCTTATTCCAAAGGGTGAGGTCTAAGGTCAGCTCCAAGTTAAATGAGAGAATGTGATGGGACTCCACTTACAAGTATACATTGATTTTCAAACTTCAAATTAATGATTTGGAACGTCCTTGAATATCACAGTCATCTGGAGGATTTGTTCAATGTAGATTGGTGGGCCCCCCTCTCAGAGTCGCTGAGTCAGTAGGTCTGGGGTGCTGTCCGAGGATCTGTATTTCCAGCGGGTTCCCAGGTGATGGTGATGCTGCTGGTGGTCCAGGGCCCACAGTTTGAGAACAGTTGCTTTAAATGAGGTCTTGTCCCTGAGTGAAGACAGATAAAATACAAGGGCCCTGAGGAAGCTAATAGCTGGGGTTTTCAAATTGTCATCATGTATTTTATTGCCTTTAGATTAATCAGAGGAATGATTTTCTTGTGTGGCTTTTCCCTGATTTTAGCATCTCAGCCACATCCTGTTTAACTTCTTTTTTCCTGCTTATATGGTGACATGCCCCACCTTGGAGGAAAGACAACTTATAAGAACAGAGATGACACTCACACCAACTTGTGTTTTTGGTTTTAAGTGAAATGAGAAAGTTCAGCAAGCCTCATCTATTGTCATAAATTACCAATGTTCTTGGGCTTTCTGTTTGTTTTGTTTTTACCGTGGTTGAAAGCTAAGCCATGAACTTGGGGCTTTGCATTGTTTCTAAAAGCAACTGACTCTCCTCTTTCAGGTGAAGTGGTTGAGGTGTGGGGACTGCCAGGAGTGTAATGTGGGACAGTTATTTTCAGGGCATATAATGCAACAGAGGTTTTGAAGGATTTACATAATTCAAGCTCTCTTAATTTATGACCCAGGGAGGCAAATGTGAAGTAAAGGATATATATAGATATATTTATATATACTCTTACAACATAAATCTAATCCAGATTAGAGCCTGTTGCTGAGGCTTTAAGCATTTTATCAATATCCACTTTATTGAAGTATTATTTATGTACAATTAAATTGACCAATTTTTAAGTGTACGGTTTGGTGAGTTTTGACAAATACATAGTTACGTAAGCATGGTACCAAAGATGATATAGAACATTTTACAGTTTTGTTGTTGCTGCTGTGTTTTTGCCAGCTCATTGCTTCCCTTTTTTTTCTTGGCTATTATTACATAGTTTTTGCAAGCTTGAAATATGCCTGTTTTCTCAAAATTGGCTCTGTGGAAAATGGAAGAGTGGTTGTTTTTATGAGCAATTAAATGTCACCTTTAAAGGAGGGGGCTAGCTCTCAGGTCTAAGGCTGTAGAGGAAGGGTCAGTCAGTTTTTGCCCTCAGGCCAAATCCAACCTGCTATCTGCTTTTGTAAATAAAGTTTTATTGGAACACAGCTCTGTCACTGGCTTCGTTATGGCTACAACACTGGAGTAAATAGCTGTGACAGAGAACTCCCCTCCCACAAGGTTTAAAATAGTTTCTGTATGGTCCTTTACGGAAAAGCTTTACTGTCCCCTACGCTTGAGCATGCCCCTTCCTAAGTTATGGTCAAGGAGCCTTGTGTGTTTGGTTAGCCTTTTTAATATAGTATTTGACCATATCTTACCAGTATTTCAGAGTTAATACTGTGATAGTTTATTTTCTCTGTATTAGCTCTAACCTCACCACTCGGATGATTTTATTTTGAGGCCTAAGAAAGCATTGAAATTGTCACAACACTGAAGTTAAAATAGCAACAGTCATATTACCATTGCTTGTGAAGTTCCAGTGCACATGCATAAGGGAGTAGAAAAGTAGGCATTTTGTTAATCAGATGAGTCTAGGTGCTGTGTACAGTGGACTCAGTTTGCCAGTTTGGGAATTTTGTAGTTCTTAATTAAAAAAAAAAAAGAAAGAAAAGAAAACCATTCTGTGGGATTTGGATGAATGTGCATAAGAAGGCATTATTTCCTTTTTAAATATCATACCGCGTTTCAGATTTGTGTAATTTAAACTCACATAGACTGTGACCACCTTGTATATGGTGCCCAGTCCTCAAGATCTTCCCCAGAACTCTCTGGCCTGTGTATCTTTGTGGGCATTTGAAAATTAGAAAGCTTATTAGAAGGTGGTTTTGTCATGAGCCAAAATGGAGGTGCATAAGTCTCACTAACCAGTATGCTTGTGGTGGTGTTGCTGACATGTCCGTTTGATAGATTTTTGATTTCCTGTCATTTCTGAATAAAACAGATAGCCCTGACGTGTGTTTGTTCTTGCCGCCGGTAGCCGGGAGACTGGGCTTGCTGAGGGTTGACAACACAGCAGAGTTCTTTCACACTGGAATGATTAAGGCTTCAGTTTTAGCTCTGTCTTAACTCCCTTTGAACCAGCTCTTTTGGTCACCGGACTTAATAAAATAAGGTGCTAGCTTTGTTCGAAGATCATTAGGAGGCAGAAATGCAGTTTCTTCAAGAATTATCCATAGTGATAGCATTCAAGTGACTTATTTTAAGAGTTGCTTCAGAAAAGAGGCAAGTAAGTATTGATTGGCGAGACATGTTTATTAGGTGATAACGCCTGTTTTTCTCTTGCAGGGGACCTGTGTAGTGCTACCTTTGCTCGAGAATCACTTCTTGGCCAGAACCCATCACTGATGCAGTTTTCCAAAAACAGGCTTAAGGAAACAGTGTCAGCAGCTTAAAGAAGAGGAGACCTTCCTGCCAGGGTGTGAAGCTCTTGGACTGGAGACCTTCTAGGTGGATTTTTATGGCACAGTGTCTTTATGATTTACAAATAAAGGAAAAAACCCATAGAAGGTGACGTCTGCCCTTCTTCAGGATGTCCTGCTGATTGCCCAGTGACGGTGTCAGGGACATCAAGGACAGGCCAGAGGCCTGGCGAGTGGCACTTTTGCCCACGTTTATCAGCATCATTGCTCATAGGATGCATGAGAAGGTTTTGGGACAGATAAAGGAGTTGAAGCTGATACCTGATGCTTAGGTGGCCTACAACAGAAAAGAATGTACCAGGCCTGTGTTGAAGCTAAGCCATATTTAGAGTAATGTTCTATCCATAAGTACTACCTAAGGGCCATCAGTATAGCTTCTGTAATGTAACATATCAGCTGTGTGATTTGGTCTTCTGGAAGAACATGGCACGGAGAGCGGGGAGGCAGGGTGTAGCTTTGGCATTGTGAGGGGTGGAGCAGCTTGTTGGCCTCTCTGTGTTTCACTGGCAAGTCGGGAGAACTGGGCGCGGATGTCTCTGTCTCGTGATGGTTAAGCACGGAAGGACAGGGGGGATAGTTCAGTGCGAAGAGCCCAGGTGTGGGAATCTGAGAGACCTGGATTTGAGTGCAAGTGTTGCCACCCACTAGCTCAGTGATCGATCACGTACATAATTTCCAGTCTTTTGAAGCTCACTCTTTTTAATTGTACAACGGGTTACAGGATTAACTTCGTGTGATTGTGGGACCGATCTGAGGTCACGTTTATTGAGTGCAGCATGCTGTCTCTTGCCTAGGAGAAGTCTTGTAAACAGAAGTCGTTATTAGTGAAACCATTTTGAAAATGTGCTTTGCAGATGTATTGTAAGGTAGTATCACTGTTTGAAAATTAGGTGACGGTAGTTTGCATTTTCCGTGATTGGAAACCAAAATATAAACGCACACTACCTAACAGAACACTTGAAGAGAGGCAATAATTTGGAATTACCTGCTTAAGATAAAAATTGGGCCATTACTGGGAAGACCAGGGGAAATTGTTCTTTTTTTTTTTTAACTATTTGAAAATTTTTCACTTAGTGCAGTGATGAATTTTAAAGCACTTTTAAAAATTATTTCATATAAGCCTGCCAGTGTGAGTTTCTTCTTAATGTGTGTGAGCTGTTTGTGCTGCTTGAGTTTTGTCGCTTAGGATAATTCTCCTCATTTTTTTTCATTCTTCAGGTGTGTTGCAGGGACAAGGAGTGGTAGGAACCAGAACACACTTTGACTCCTTTTTCCAGTTTGTAAATGGCATTTTGGTAGGCTTTTGGAATAATAGCCCATTTCAAAACACAAAAGGTGATGTAAATTATCACAAAGGTGAGAGGTTAGAAGTCCGTATTTGGAGGTTGACATTGGAATGAACTTAATGCTTCGTACTCAACAACTGCATCCTCTGAAGGCAGGAGTTCTCAGCCTTAGGTATTCATTAGAACCACCTGGGGAGCTTTACCCCCACCCCCCACCCCCATTATGCCCCAGAGCAATACAGCAGAATCTCTGTGGGGGGTGGGTAGACTGTTCGGTGGAACCAGCCTGTCTATCTTTTAAAGCTCCCTGGGTGGTTCCAGTAGGCCACTAGGGATGAGAACGCTCTAGTGAATTCTTGGTGATCTTCAGACATTATCTGATTTCTCTCTCAGCACTTCTGAAGTAGGAAAGGATCTTTGTAGCAAGAATTTTTGTTAGAACTAGAGAGAGTGAAGGCTGAATTTTGCCCTAATTGCCTGGAGCCAGACTCTTAACTGACCGAGCCACCCCAGTGCCCCTGAGCCTACCCTTCAAGGCAGTGATTTTGTAGAGTGATTCCCACACTTCTGCTTGTACCAGAAATTCTCAGGGAGGAGTGCTCAACTCTAGGTTCGTGGGCCGTCCCCTGGAAATTGTGATTCATGAAATTTCATCGGGGTCTGGGGGATCTATGTTGTAAAGCGAATTCGCCAGGAGATTCAGTCATGCTGTTCCACAGACCTTGTTTTGAGAAACATTGATTTCAGGGGCTGTGGTGTTGCCTTCTGTGTCTCCTAGCATGTAAAAAGGCAGTCATTTGGGTCCACTGATCGATAGAATTGACCGCTCAGGACACAATATAAAGTTCTTAATGCAGAGATAAGCTGACTGAGGCTATCCGTACGTGATGGTGGTGCTTTTACCACGAAGGGGCTTTTATGGTTTTAATCATATGTGGATAAAAAAAGGTGCTGTATTCTTTTTATATAAATCGCTTTGTGTATTTTATAAGCAGTATATGTGTGGTAATGATATCCCATTTGTCAGACATTGGAGGGTACACAGTGCAGACCAGTCAAGGCTGTTTTTGAAGTTAAACCTCTTCTTGGCTTTATTTGAACCGTTGACATTGTAACTCTCAGTACACATTTCCCTGCTTTTGTGAACAATCTACTAAAAAATAATGAAAAAATTTTAAGGTCATCCTTTATGTTTTTCATTGTTTCAGACCCTCTTTGAGTTTGCTAAAGCCCCTCCACCGGACGGCTCTGCCCGTCGAGCTCTAGCGGTTCCTTTAGTCTGCCTATAGGAAACTTCCTTCCATTCTGTCTGGAGTTGGGAACTCATGTCCCTGCAAACTGTACATCTCAAGTAACACTAAACAGGCTTTGAGGGGCTTTCCTGAGAACAGTAAAATGAACGAACGTTGCTGCATTGACCTGGTGACAGTATTTTGCTATTTTCCTATAACTTCCTGATTACCCAAGTACACTTGTCAAACCTTTGACCTCAAGGTCGGTGAGATGTTGCTACAAATGACGTCTTTTGGTCTAGAAGCCAGTGTCTTCCCGAACTGTGTTCATGGTTTTATATGTACAGTTGCATAATGTGAAACGTAAGTAAGTTAAATTCAAACGAACGTTTCTCAGGCCACGTTTTTGTGCAGGATAAAAGTCTTTTTGATTCAGTGTTACTGTGATTTGGAGCTGTCCGTTAGTTGGATAGCTCTGAAATTCAGTCTTGTGGACATTCTGAAATAAGGGTGTTACGACTGATACTGCATGATCGTTAGTTTCTGGGGTTATCACGTCACCCAGCAGAGCTTGTGTTTGTCGTTGGTTGTGATGATCTTCGTCCTTCACAACAGTTCCAGATGCGGGTGTTACACTGACCATATGGTGAGCCGGTGATCTTTCTCCCAGGTGAGCCCCGAGGTAAGCCAGTAAACTTTCTCCCAGAAATAAGTAGAGGCTCCTTTTACTGGGTGATCTGAGGGGGCCATGTGCTCATGGGGAAAGGTCCAGGGTGGGCCGAGAGAGAAGAAATGAAGCACCACATGGACAGGCAGCAGCAGAAAGTCACATGACCCCGAGAGAGAGGGAGACGTGGCCGCTGCTTTTTGAGTTGTGGGGCTCAGCTCTGCTTTCTGTACTGTGTTTCCATGAGACTTCATGAGATCCTTTCACTGGCCTGCTTTTCACTTGGATGAATTTGAGTGGCTTTCTCTGCCTGGTTTCCAAAATGCCCTGCCCCAGCTCTGTCGATGCTTTTCTTTTATTAGAGCCGAGTACCTTTAGGGGTAGAATCCTTGGTTCAGCCAGCATTTATGGAGCACCTACTGTGTTCAGGAAAAAGGCAGCCTTTATCTTCTGTTTGGACTTGATCGAGGGGTTTCTAGGAGGCCTGCACCGACGTTCTACAGACAGATGGCAGGGGTGGGCACCAGTTGATGGTAAGACCCAATGCACGGACCTCCTGAATAAATCAAACAATATTTGCTCATTTAAAGGATGCCGAAAAAAATCAGCCCAGGACATGCAGCGAAGAGATCAAGCACATAAATATATAGCGTGGCGGCCCTGGCCTCACTGGCAGATTGCACCATTGTGGATGGTCCTGCCTGAGTTAGAGGCACACATTGTACCTTTTGGAAGGTAACCAGTTCTCTCTAGGGTGGGCCTTATAGGTAGAAGAGTGGAGCTGCCCTGCATGAGACCACCTCCTCATCTGAGCCACATAGTATATCCCACTGCATAGTGCTTGCCGGGTATGGGATATTCAGGCTTAAACACCTTCTACTTTCAGACTGTTCTATCACAGCTTGCTCCGAGGGGATTCCTGGATTCACGGCTGCAGGGTAGTAGTTCCCTGATGTCTGGGTGGGGCACGCTAACTAGTGTGGATTAATCCTGTGAACTCCAGAGAACCTTGCACAAGCATTGGAGAGATTGGGGCGGGTAGAGAGGTGGAATCCTAACAATGACAAGCCCAGTGTGATGGGGGCTATGAGTAGAAATTATATTAACTTATTGTAACAATTTCTAGAAATGTACAAATAGCAGTATTTAAAATTTTAAATGCAGTATTTCTTGCATACCTTGATGGCCGATCGTAACCCCTTGGGTAGCTTTAAAACACACTGATGCTTTTGTCCCAGCTCCAGCGATTCTAGGTGGTGGCCCTGGCATCAGGATTGTGTAAAACTCCCCAGCTGATCCGGAAGCAATGGGTGTAAATTCCTACCACATTCTGAAATAATGCCTGTTTTTCCCTAAGTGGGAGCCCTTACGTAGCTAGCTGGAGGAGGGAGTTGGCAATATGAGACCTCCCCCTTGCCCTACTCCTTCTGGTGAATTTTGCCTCTAGGCCTTCCAAAAAATGTAATTTACTTTCCAAGAAAAAAGTGCTCCCGTGTCTCTTAAATACTAGTGGAAGAAAAGCGATAACCAAAAATACTCTACCATGCGCACTTGGCTTTGTTATGATCAAAAGTTTGAGTTGCATTTGTTGGAACAGAATCCAGTGCAGAAGAAGGCTGCTGTAGTAACTCAAGATCCTTGCTCGTCACAAAGGGTTAACCTGTGAGCTTGCACTGCTGGACCCTAGGAGGCAGTTCTCTAAGCTGTGGCCTGGCCTGCTGTGCAGGAGGTGTTGGGCAGAAAATAGCAGCCCCCATCCTGGTAAATTAAACTCCATGGAGCTATTCGCCAGCCTTCTCCGAGAAGGTTACAGCCATTTCGTGCCTGCCATCTGTTAGGCTGCTGATGGAATCATTCCTTCTTTGTGTTGGTGCCAGGCTGAACTTTTAGATCCGACGATGA